ACCACAGCTCTCTGGCGCGGAGACCAAGGCCCGTGCCCTGTTATGCTGCAAGTTGAATGGCTCAAAATAGAACTTCAGCAGCTTGCGCAACTCGATCACATCCTGCCGCAAGACACTGAAATCGAAACACCTAGAGGTACTTTTTTAGGGATCCCGTAAGAAGGATTATAATGGATGGGGTCTTTACTGAGGTCCCCTTATTAGCGTTTCAAACGAGAAGCATACGCAAGCTATCAAAATTATACAGAGGGTCAAAAACTACTGGGTTGCTGTTAAGGAACTTACTATATTGGGGAAACCCTATTATTCACTATATATACCCATTATGGTAACTTAATTTAAGTTCCTTAACAGCAACCCAGACTATTGCTCGCCCTTGTTGAGACTAGTTCGCAAGCCCTCACATCCCCAGGCACGAGTCCGAAGCTGGTCTGGAAATGGGCGGGGCGAAGAATGACATAATATGATGTAACATACCATATGATATGATTCAGTATACTATACTATGATATAACTATATGTATATATATGTGTGTGTATATATTGGTATTCACTTCAGGGTGAGGATTTGGGACCGCTACTGTTTTGACCATGAGATGCGATTGGCAGGCAAGGCCAGCAGCTCTCAAAGGTCCGCCTTCTTCAGCGGCTTCCGGAAAAACCTCCGCCGTTGGATCTTCCCCCTCCCGGCCTGCCGAATGAGCTTTCGAGGATTCGAGTCACTTCATTGATGCGCTCAGCTACAGCGTGGCTCTTCACACTGGGTACTACGATCATTGGGAACGTGACCTCTATGCAAGTCACACAGTAGTCTGCTAGGAACTCAATGAAGAGTTCCGGCCACTGACACCTCTACAAGACGCCAAGACCATCAGACCAAAGAGCTTTCTACACCCAGACGTATGAACAACACCCCATCTTATCACTTGCTCGGGGGTCCCCACAAGAGACTAAACCTTGTGGGCACGGTTCCATGATTGCTTCTCGAGACTGGATGTGGCGAATTGCGTTTAAAGAAGTTACATTGTTGGCCCTGACTCTGAGCGTGAGCTGCCTTTCGATTCCCATTGCAGTCTTGAAGTGCATGATCACGACCACATTGCGAGTGTTCCTTCTTCTCGCATTTCCCGCTAAGCTGATAAGACTGCTCCTGCTACAACAACAACGAAATAAAGCTTGTTCGCGCTGCCGGTCGCAGAAACATTGTAGCCTTGCTCTATTAGGAACAATGGCCACAGATAACCACCCCTTAAGATGCAAAACGTGCCTCGAATTGAGCCATGGCCTGTACCCCTGCAACACCCACGGAGGACGCTCCCTTGCAACACCCAATGTACCTTCTCTTCTGTTGCTTCCATTTGCCAGCCTCGGACCAAGAACAGAAGGTCTTGCAGCATCCCGTGCCGAAGCCCCAAATGCATCTTTGTGCTTCAGAGATCATCAAGAAGCACTCATCTATTATCTTGATAAGTCATCCAGAATCTCAGCAAGGCTTCATTGTTTCCGACAGAGTCGCCTTCCAAAGAACTGGTATCTAGAGACCACCACCCCTTCTCGAGGAAGCAAATGGCCAGTGAGGCCCATGAGGTCAGGACCATCCCCGCTAAGCCGGCAGCTCATACGCGGGGTGTCCAATTCCTGGCCCAAACTGAACTGGTTGGCTGCTTATTGTCATGCAAAGTCGTGACACATGTCACAGCAGCAGGGTACGCAGTTAAGCACGGCAGGCAACTGAACATCACTGCGTGGATGTCTGCCGAATACAATCTTGTCGGTCAGACCAACACATCTGATTCGTCCAGCGCATCTCGTAGGGCATCCAAAGACTCCTGCAGCCGCAATACAATTATGTGGAGCTTGTGAAGCGCTTGTGAGTTACGGACATAGATTCCCTCACCGTCATTGCTATCCATGGTTGGGCCTTGCTCGAGGTGATGCCAGCGCGGTCAAGCCTAAGACTTCTGGAAGAGCAGCGTGCCCCAGCAGCTCAAGTCAAACGTTTGCTTCTTCCGCTAGCTATTGAGGCTAAGGGCACGCACGCCCAAATGCTCAACTCTTCAAATCTCAGCCGAAATGCAGTCGGCGGAGTGTTGGCTCTTCGGCGAGCACTGGCAAGGGTACCTGGTGCGAGGCGGACATTTATGCTCACAACATCTTCTTCCTCTTCTTTTCAGTAGCGCTGTTCTGGTTAGAATTCTGGCACCTTCAATACTTGTGGCCCTGATTTTTTCAAGCCTTTGTGGTCCTGCCCGTAGTATTCCAGAAAGAACAGCTAACCATGATTCTGTACTCAACCCACCACTTGCTTGTGACGCTCCAACTTTTCAGTATGAGTGGATCACCCTGCAGCACAGCTTGCATTGCCACTGTCACTAATCCCTTCCCCTAATAGTACCCGCCCACCCCACCTAATTGTAAATACTCCCAATACCAATAAACCCTGCATGAGACAAAATCGGTTATACCTTTGGACATGGGGCTGTCTAGCATGAGGTCAGCCAGGATTTTCTAGCATCATGTGTAGGGGCGTAGCAGAAATTCGGTCAGCTAAAGGCAGAAAGAAGCTGTTACAAGACCTCACTAGTCAGGGTGAGAGCGCGCGTATGCCAACCTTGCGGGGATTTCTCACAAAGCCTTGTTTGGTGGGATAGTTTCTGCATCAATGGCACAAGCACTCGCATGCTCAGGCCAGTGCTCCTAAACCCCAAGCCTCAGAATGGGGAGTATTTCATATTACGGGGGTGGGGTGGGTTTAATGGGGAGTATTTAAGATCACCAGGGGGGCTTAACATTAGGAGGAAAAAAGATTATAGTCCCCCTTAAGTAAATAGAATATGGGGTATATGGGGATCTTATGATAATATACCCAAAGGTATATTCTATCTACTTAGGGGGGACTATAACTCCTAAACTCTAAACCCTAAACCGACAGGCAGGACAGGCCTCGCCCTCCTTTTTCAGCGTGTGGGCTCCCTGGCAGCGCTGGAAAGGCGGCAGCAACCACCCAACCAAGGGCTTTTATGTAATTCCTTTTTGGGTTTGCTAGGGTTTGGTGAAGGATTATAGTATAGTACCCTAAAGCCCCCAAACCCTAAGCCCCTAAACCCTAAGACCCTAAACCCTGAACCCTAAACCCCCAAACCCTAAACCCTCAAACCGTGTACATAGGAGCGTTTGGGTAAAGTGATGGCTGTCAGACTTCTGGGACTGCTCCTAGAGGCAGCCTCAGGGGTGGTGGCGATAAAGAGCAGAAAGCTTCACATAGTACGCATAGTGTAGGTATATGCGTGGTTGTCAAAATTATGGTCCCTTTTGGGATCCCTACTATAATACGGCACCTAGTATTTAGGGTACCCAAAAAGGGACTACAATTTTGACGTCCCCTTTAAGGAGATGGCTTTGCGTATATTAGAATAAGATCCTATGTGCCCCATGTTCTATCTACTTGAGGGGGACTATAACGCCATACCGAAAGCCATAGCAGGAACAAATAGGAGCAATTCCAAGAGGAGCAGTTCCAAGAAGGACAATGGCGGTCAGAACAAGACTGGTGGACGGAATTTGAATAACCCTAAACCCAAAACCCTAAACCCTAAACATGAAACATAACCATGACTCGAATACTTTAAGCAATAAGGCGAAGATGAGCGGAAAACCGCCTTGGGATTTTGTGGCCTTGGGCATTCAAAGCTACTTGCACATCTGTGCTCCGGCGTGGCCCTCTGATGTGGAAGCTTCTTATAGTTTCTTTCTTGGCATGTTACAATCCTGGGGTATCCCGAGTTTTTCCTCTAAGCTTTGGCTTCCCAAAGTCTGTGTTGCAAACTGACTTCGAAGCTTTCGGGAAAGCAAGGAGAAAGAAATCTGTCCGTGAAAGGCGTGGCCGAGACTAAGCGCGACCAATGTTTGCAAGACATCTTTCCGACATTTTCCTAAGCCCTAAACCCTAAAGCCCTAAATTGTAATTTCCATTTTAATTTCCATCATCCAAGTATATCCCCAATCGAACGCAAATTGCGGCCTTGTTGTTGTTGGAGAGCACCTCCTCGATCGACGGAAGCCTTGGCAGGATCTTGCCCTTTCAGCATACCCAAGGGCTACTACGTAGTTCCTCTTTGGGTTTGTAAGGGTATGTAAGGGTTTCTTGGTAAAGGATTATAGAACATGATAGACCAATTGTATAGTGCTCAAAAAGGAGCTACAGGTAACCACGATCGGAGAGAAGAATCAAGTGCTAAAACAGACGCGTCAGATTTCTACAAACGGGGTACCCTTGGGGACCCAGAGTTGTATATTGGGAATTCCAAGAGGTTGTCCGGGATCCACTAAAGATGCTGAAAAGGATGAGAAGCACCCCTGTAAGCCAGCGGCAGCATTTCAGCATGAGAGCGCCAGGAGATCACGTCGGAGAAGCCCACCTAGGGCAAATCTGGGGAGCGCAGAACACAACACGAGAGAACACGCTTTCAACCACTAAAGTATATTTGGGAAAATATTGGGATAATGGAAAAGAAAATGGAAACCACTATAGTATATCGGGGTAATATTGGGATAGTGGAAAAGAAAATGGAAACTACTGTAGTATATTGCGGTTCCAAACTCCGCCTTACAGCTCTGAGCCATGCACCTGGCTGGGGCACACCTGCTGTCATGTCACAAACATCTTGCTGTAAGAGGCCCTTGAAGCCATGCGGCTCTCAACTGTTTTCTGGGCAGTGCCTGGATAAGCTCAGCATGTTCCAACGCCGTTCGCAGACTTTCAACCTGAAACACAAACAGTGCCAATGGCTTGTTCCATGTGCATAACCTGGCCTAGCGGCCTAGCGTGTGTAGAAGCAAACTTGTGAGACTTGTTGACGGCACGACTGATCCAACGGGATTTGATGACTTGCCTAAGTTGTCTCTGCAAGTGACTCTGAGGCATTTGCTTGATCTTCCGGATCTATCCGATGCTTTGCAAACAAGGACCTGGCATGCGGGGCACTGCTTGAAAATTTCAGCTAATGTATCAGAATCCGCAGAGCTTGAAGAACCTGAGACCCTGACTGCACCTCGCGTGACCCCAGCGCCTCGAAGAAGTTCAACGTTGAAAGACCTTGGTCCTGAAGTCCACCCAGGATTCTCTCGCAGGCTGCTGTTAAGGCCTCATCCTCCGTCCGCAGTCGCACAGTGCAGTTGAAAAGGTCGACAACCACAGGATTCAGATCCCCAGCATGTGCAAGACATCTTGCCAACTCGCTTGCACTGTGGCATTTGTTCCACAAGTATGGATGTTGCTGCAACAACTCCTCCACGGGCACGCTGCCATGCTGGCCCTCTTGCCGCAGGTAACGGGCAACAGCAGCGGAAAGGAGACCTTTGCGTTTTCGCCAAGCAGCCTCCGAAGAAGCACCATCCAAATCCGATATCTTTCTTTCAGCCCAATGCAGGTCGAAGGATGTTGGGGTGCCCGACGTCTCGGAAAGGCACACAAACATAGGTGACATGCCCCAGGGTGTGCACATCATGGGAACCTGAACAAATGCAGCAGGCTCTACAAGCATAGGCTGCTCCCAGTTGTAGTCAAAGTCGTTGCAGTCCTGGCAGTCGTAGCAATGCTGAGGGCTCTGATCACTTCCAAACTCTGGTGTACGAATTCCATCAGCCTCTCTGCCCACGTAAGCGAACTTCGTCCTCTCCACATCACTTCCAGACGAGTTGCCACCAAACCACTGCTGCGCCCAAACACCTCCCTGAGCTTCCTGTGATGGCTCGGCCCTGTCAGGTGTAATCTTTACAACTCGCGCGCCCTGAACTGCAATTATGCTGGAACTTCTGGCTGCATCAGCCACGGCCGTCAATCGTTCTCTGGGCTCCGCGATGCCCCTCAGCTGCCGAGCCACCTGGGGGATTGTCAAAATTATGGTCCCCTTTTGGGGTACCCTAAATAATGGAAAAGAAAATGGAAACCATAGGGATTATAGGGGTGATATAGGGTTTATATTGGGATAATGGAAAAGAAAATGGAAACTATGGGGATTATATAGGGGATATATTGCAGTATTATAATTGGAACCCAAAAAGGGACCATAATTTTGACAATCCCCCACCAGGGGTTGGTCCGCCAGGTCCAGCAGACTCACATCGTCACGCAAAGCCAGCTCGGAGCCGATCATGTCCTCCAAAATATTGGGTTTAGGGTGTATATAGGGATAATGAAAAAGAAAATGGAAACTATAGGGATTATAGGGTAGATATATAGGGGTTCTATTGGGACAATGGAAAAGAAAATAGAAACTATGGGGATTATATACGGGATATATTGAGGTTATATTGGGATAATGGAAAGGAAAATGGAAACTATGAGGGTTATAGGGGTCATGTAGGGGATATATTGGGTATATATTGGGATAATGGAAAAGAACATGGAAACTTTCGGGATTATAGGGGTCATATAGGAGATATATTGGGCATAAAATGGGATAATGGAAAAGACCATGGAAACTTTCGGGATTATAGGGGTCATATAGGAGATATATTGGGGCTATATTGGGATAATGGAAAATACAATGGAAACTATTGAGATTACAAAGGGGTGATATAGGGGATATGTAGGGGATATATTGGGGATAAAGTGGGATGATGGAAAAGAAAATGGAAACTATAGGGATTATAGGGTTTATATAGGGGTTATGCAGGGGATACATTGGGGATAAAGTGGGATGATGGAAAAGGAAATGGAAACTCTAGGGATTATAGGGTTTATATAGGGGTTATGTAGGGGATATATTGGGGATATGTTGGGATAATGGAAACGAAAATGGAAACTATAGGGATTATAGGGGAGAGATATAGGGGAGAACATATTGGGATAATGGAAACGACAATGGAAACTGCTTATTACAATAGGGGATATATTGGGGAAACTACTATATTCTAATCGGGATTGTTGCATTCCCTATCATGTCCTCCAAGATCAGCCGCAGCTGTTCCATGGTGCTTCGGACATGGACCTTGGCAATCGACATGTTGTACGCTGAATGGTGCAAGTGAGACACCAAACAAAGGACCATTAACAGTTTATTTGGGCGGACTGTTGTCACGACCATCTCAAAGCAAACCACCCAAACTGTAGGTATATTGTAATAAGCAGTTTCCATTTTTTATTTCCATTATCCCAATATAGCCCCAATATAGCCTCTATATAACCCCTATAATCCCAATAGTTTACACCGAAGGCACCTTACCGGCCTCGCTGCACAAACGCGTGTGCAGACCGCTGTCTGTAACAGCTTCGGCGATATGTTCTGGACTCAGGCGATCACGCTGGCTGTCTGGGATTGGCGCGTTCTCCAGAACGTATTGCGTAGATAGGCAGCGCGCGTGTGAGTCAAAGACTGCCTCTGGAAGTGAAACCATCCACTCCTCGATCACCTCCACCAGATTGGACATGTCACCGAGCGGCTGTGCATGATCCGAAAAATATGATGTTCTCGGCGATAACATCGCGCCAAGTGGCCAAATTCCTCTTTGTGGAGACCAGGAATCTTTGGCCGGATTGCTTGAAATGTTGCTTGAGCAGGGCGGCCAAAAGTGCTTGAAGTGCAGAATCCAGACATGCAAATTCCGCTTCCAGTTCATCCGGCTTTGGTCTTTCCACGCTGCCATCCTTATACTGAAAATCTATATGTGCCGGCCGCAGATGGCCAGGAATTTGGCCCACTTCAAAAGGGCATAGATCTTTCAAATATTTCTAGGTATGCCAGGGAGTGAGGGTCATGATTAAAATCGCACAGCATGGTCATCTTGGCTTTCATCATCTGGACTTCCACAAGCAAGGTCCCCTGCTCCCGGCAAAGCGCCTACAGGCCTACAGAAACCATTTAGACCACACCTGCATCAGAGATAGCAACCTCTGCTCTGCACCTGGTCAGCAGTTGCTGCAGTTACTGACGTCAAAGGGCAAAATAGGGCAACCATGCCAAATGGGGGATTGTCAAAATTATGGTCCCTTTTTGGGTCCATAAATTAGGCCCCGTATTATAACAGGGACCCAAAAAGGGACCATAATTTTGACAACCACCCAACTGCCAGTTCCGAAACAGACCAAAGCCCAGCAGTCAGGAGGCCTGCCCGATTGAGATCCCATGGACTCCATCTTCTGCACCACGTCATATCCTGAAAGACTGGGTTACTATGGGGGATTATATAGGGGTATAATATTGGGGGTTATGATGGGCTCATATAAGGTTCTATTGGGGTTATATAGGGAATAATGGAAAAGAAAATGGAAACTACTATAATGGGTTTTATAGGGTAATATTATTACAAAATAGTCTTTGGGTTACTATGGGGGATTAAATATTGGGAGTTATAATGGAAAAGAAAATGGAAACTACTATTTAGGGTTTAGGGTTTAGGCTGCTGAGCTCAAGGACAAAATAGTCTTTCCCTACCCTTCCAAGTTCCATAGCCAGACTGTTTCGAGATGTCCTTCCAGAACCTCGCCGAAGACAACGTGTTTGCCATTGAGCCAGTCGGTGGGTGCCACAGTGATGAAGAACCTTTGGGCGCCACTGGGCAGCTAAGGGATTTTGTCACAGAGAGCCAGGGAATCATGGAAAAGAAAATGGAAACTACTATAATGGGTTTTATAGGGTAATATTATTACAAAATCCTGAAAGACTGGGTTACTATGGGGGCATATTGCAGGATAAGGCCTGACATCGGATTCACATAAGACCTCGAGAGGGAATCCAGAATAAAAGCTTACCTGCCAATCCAGTATTGAATCAACGTGCTTTCCTCATTCCATCCTGCTGTGCAGCTTCTTAAGATGACTTAGATCCCATTGAGGAATTTGATTGACAGCTGTTTGCGCGCATTGCGACAGATAGCTTTACATCTGCTGCAAATATCACTGGAAATGCACATCTCCCTCGTGCTGCAAGCCAATATGATCAAAACTGTGAACGCTCCACAGCCTAGCCGGTATGAATGTTCGAACATTAGGCGTTCTTCATCCGGATGTTACAACAATGAAGGAACCCCAAAACCGTGAACCTAAAATCCTAAGCCCCAAAAGCCCTGAACCCCTCAAGCCATCCCAGTTTCCATGGCTTTTTTGATTTGATTCTCCACTACTGTGGCAATAGTAACTCGTAAACCCTACACAGTGGCTTCCATTTCAATTTCCAATACATTCCCACCAAAACCCTGTAGCCCTGTATACCTCTATGTAACACCCTGCTGTTTAACATGGTATGCTCACTGGTGGTTTCAAGAGAATAAGGGAATACACTCCCTGTATGATACCCATATACTACATTCGCTTACTCCCTCCATGATACCTATATTACCCCAAGAATCCTAATGTAACCCTAAAAGATCCCTACATTCCCCACTAACCCTAACCCTAAATCCTAAACCCTAAATCGAATCCTTAACCCTAAATCCCTAGACCCTAAATCCCCAAACCCCAAACCCTAAATCCCCAAACCCTACATCCTAAACGCTAAGTCCTACACCTTAAACCCGTAACCCAAAATCCTAAACCTTAAACTCTGAACCCAAAACCCAAAATCCTACATCCTAAACCTGAAGATCAAAACCCAAAACCCAAAAATCCAAGTCCAAAGCCTTGAACCCTAAACCCTAAATCCTAATTCGGTAAGACCTGGTATGACCAGGTTTCCGACTGCGAGCCATTTGTGTTTGGCCCAGCATTTGCCATGCTGAGGAGGCCTGGCCTCACTTCGTTGGGGTTTTAGGACTAAGGGTTTGGGGTTCAGGATTAAGGGTTCAGGGTTTAGGGTGTAGGGTTTCTGGATTGAGGGTATGTTTAGGGTTCAGGGTTTAGGATTAAGGGTTTAGGGTTTGGTGGTTTAGGATTCAGGATTTAGGGTTTGGCGTGTAGGATTACTGATGTATTAGGATGTAGGATTGAGGGTTTAGGGATTTAGGGTTCAGCCTTTTGGGTGAAGGGTTTAGGGATCAAGGGATTTAGGATTACGGGCTTAGGATTGGGGTGTAGGATTCAGGGTTTAGGAGATTCAGGGATCAGGATTTAGGGGTCTAGCATTGAGGGTTCAGGATCTTGGGGTGTAGCGTTTAGGGATTGAGGGTTTAGGGTGTAGGATTTGAGGGGTAGTAGTTTCAGGTTTAGGTTTAGGATTTGGTGTCTGGGGCTAAGGGCTTACGATAGCGGAATATAGGTAACTGGAAAAGAAAATTGAGATCCATTTTAGGGTTACTGCGCTGTCAGCTGCGTTAAAAGGCTTTGGCTTTGTTGGTGGATTTTGTGGTTCTAGTGTCCAATGGTCTTGGTGCTTAGGGTTCAGGGCTACCTATTCTTCCAAAGGGAAGGAAGGGCCTACAAGAAGCCGTAAGCTAGATGAAAACATTGTTAGGGGTGTCTCTCCCAAACTCTAAACCCTAAGGTCAAAAAAGGAGCACCTGGGCCTGCACAGGACCTTGGGCATAGGGGGCAGGTTTTAATTCCTTCTTGCTTTGTTTAGGTAAATTGTTCTGTCCGAAGGTTTGGGTCTTGCAGATGATTCCTGATTTGATTGAAATACGAAGACAATGTTTTCTTGTATCAAGATAACCCTAATATACCCACTATAAACCCTATAATCCCAGTTTCCATTTCATTTTCCATTTTCTTTTCCATTTGATTCTCCATTATTGGGGTAATATTGGGTACCATACCCTAAATCCTAAACCAATATATGAGTGCTCGAAGGTTGAGGTCAACTTGTGGAGCTCTCTGCATCAGCTCGAAACCCAATCTTGAAAAGCAATGGCTGTTTCACCAGCCAGTAGCAAGGTTACTCAAAGCTTGAGCAAAAGCTCGTCAACCTAGAAGTAGCGCGCACTTTTGACATACAACTCTCGCGTATAGCTCAACTACTTTGCTGCTGTGCTGGCATCCTCAGGAACATTAGCGTGGCTGGGTTCCCAACTTCGTGTGGTTCAGCCTGGTCAAGCATAGTACTGTCAATTGCCAAGCTGCAAACTGTTACGTGGCTGCGTCTGCAACGGACCAATAAGGAGGAAGCTCAAAGTTCTCATCCTCGAACTTGTTGCCTCTGCGCTACAGTAGTCTTGCCGGCAGCATGAGCGCATCACGACTGTTCATTCCAAGAGCCGGACCATAAATGCTGCGGCCACCGGTGCCGTTGAAGTTTGTGAAATCGCCACCCTGAGCCAAGTTCCCCAAACCCGGCTCGCTGCTGGTCGCGCCATGCCATGGGAGCTTTGAAATCGTGACAATGTGGTGTCATGCTAACTACCGTAATGACGGCATCAACCTACCAGCAAGCCACCACCATATGTGTCTGTATGTATTCATAATTTCTTCATACGCACACATAACTCTGTGAGACATAGATAGTTTGATAAACAGATAGAATGGGTAAATAGATAGATCGATTTGTAGTGATAGGTAGAGAAATGCATAGATAGTCGCTTTTTGTGGAGCGCAGGGCTGGATGGCCTGGCACATGAAGCCTGGAATGATGCGGTGGAAGGGGCAGCCTCACCCAGCAGCTGTATCTTGGCTCCAAATTGGGCTGCTGTTAGGGAAGTATATTATGGGTATACCATTACCATGGTCAGTTAATTTAAGGTCCTTAACAGCAACAAAGCAAAACCACGGGGGGTTTGGGCGACATGCAAAATCGCGCCTTTGAAGCCCTGGCCCTGGGGTTTCTCGCAAAGCGTGCGGAAGTTCTCGACCGTCTTTGGGACAATATCGCCTGCAGGCTTTGTAGCTCGAGTTCAAGAAGCTGTGGCTAACTTATGAAGACCCCGCAGGACTCCAGGACCTGTACCATACAGCTGCAGCGGGCATTGGAATTTTCCAAAATTAGGGGTTCCCCGTTGTGTACCCCGGAGCGCCTACAATTCTCACCATAGGCCACCCCAAAAAGAGAATCATCATACCCTCCCAAGAATGGAACCCCCTCATAATCCCCTAGCTTCCCCAATGCAGCAATGGGTTCATATTGGGGGGTTCCGTTTCTTACCCTAAACCCCAAGCCTTAAACCCCTAAACCCTAAATCCCAAACCCTAAATGCTCGCGCCGTACAGTCCGAAGACAACGCGTCCAGCAGACTGACCGCCAATGGTGATGTCGAAGAAGACCTGTCGGCAGGAGTGGGATTTTGGGTTTAGGGATGTAGGCTTTAGAGATTCAGGGTTTAGGGTTGACCTGCTGGCAAGAAGCGTAGGTTTGGAGTTTAGCACTTAACATGGCTTGATGGGGTTATGTAGGATTAGATAAGGATAAATGGGGTAATGTAGAGGGATTTTCTGATTAGAGTCCAAGAGGTGAACCTGCTAATCGTTTCGCTGTGCATATGCTGATCCACTTAATAGCTTGTAGATCCGTTTTGAACTGTCACTCTTGGAGCCTAGCCAAGTCTTGCAGGGTGCCTTGGTTGTCACATCATCTGGAGATGGATCTCGACCTCCACCAAAAAACAGCTTGCGCGGCACGGAGCTGGTTCGCGGCGTGCGCAGCCTTAAAACATGCAGCTGGCAAAGCACCTCTTCAGCGCTGTTTCTACTTCCTGCATGCTCTAATGCGAGGCTCTGCCGTGCCAGCACTAGCAAGTCTTCAAGACATGATCCTCCCAAAGTCGATCATCTGAGTTTTTGGCGCAACGCCGACGAGGCATGCTGCGACCTTCACCAGCTTCACCATCGAGCGTCTTCTGGTAGCTGAACCAAATAAGATGATATTCTTGCAACATTCTACGACCAAGGGAAGATCGTAATCTTACTCTTTAAATTGGCGACTGTTGCATCTCCCGAAGAAGCGCTACTTTATTGTGTTTGAGGTCAGAGCATTCACAGCTTCCCTCTTGGAGTAATACATCAAATCTTACTCCTTTGCTGGGGTTAAATTCTCCCTTCAAGTCGTGAACGGCTTGCTTACTTCAGTACATGCCGCCTTGTCTAGACTATAGTTGCGAGTGTAAGTCACAAGACTGTTGGGCCGATAGCTCCCAGGAATCCCGCCTCCCACTGTTTATGTGGTAATTTCCCCAAATATGGGGATCCCAATATAAGCCCCAATAGATACTATAGTCCTTATTATAGGGACCCCCCAAAAAGGTACCCCTAATTTTAGAAAACCCCCATGTCAGCTTTTGCATCAATTTTGACTTCTATCGTCTTGCTAATGGGCGGTAAGCTTGGATCCAGACCGTGGCTGCTGCTGCAGCTGACACACCCGAGCTTGCCATTCCCTGCCTGGAATGTCCACGTCTGCGAGGTGAAAGGTTCAGGGTATTGGGGTTGATAATGGATCCAGAATCCAAGTGCTAATGGTCGTCGCAGTCGTGGTGATCGTAACAGCAGTGACTTTCGTTCTCGTGGTCATCACATTGTAGTCAGGACTTGAGTCGTGGTGCCTTGTCTTGTGGGTACACGGTTCGAAAGTTTGTCATCGTTTTCCTTGGGCTGTTTTTTGGTTGGCAACTGGCGCTACTGCGGCTGCAAATGAGCAGACTACTGTTGTCTACTTCTAGAAAGAGGCTATTAATTCGACGACGAGAAGGACAAGGACGTGGATGAATACTCCTTCTACTGTACCAGCGGCTGCTATGTTGTACTGTACAGTAGCGGGTAGTATCTCCATGTATCTGACACTGACTGCGCGTCCCCGCCTTTCTGGAGCACCCAGTCGCAAGCCACGCACGTTGCTTGTGACCTGGGCCCCATTCAGCTCCGTGTGCCCACCAGTTGATCCCGTCTCTTTGCATGTGCCTGGCCTACCATGCCAAGACGAAAGCACGAAAGCCAGGCAAAAGGCTGTAGGATGCTGCGCGCCCGCTATCTGCATGAAAGCATAGTGACCAAACCAGGCGCAAGCGCCTCAGTCAAAATCTCAACTGCTCCTTCCTTTGTTTCTAGCGTTTTAGGAGGATGGCCACTTGGACTTGTGCGAATCACAGCTACAAACGGGGCTCCTAAGGACCCTACCCAGTGCAACTGCGGCAAGCGTCCTGCGAAAGTGAAGAAGCGTTTGGTAGAAGGCTGGAATTGCTTGGAGTGTTGCCACCCTCTGTCAGCGGGCTCCTGCTACGAGTGATGACCATGCTGGGCACGGCAGCGCTCTAAGCTCTGCTCGGGCAATCCAAAACTGCCCCAACAAACAAGCTTGACGATGCTGGCCTGCACACCCCGTCAGCACCCCGTCAGCACAAGCAAAACTGCAGTCTCACTTTTTGGAACACGAAGCGCAGCCTGAAGCCTTCGACTACAATGAAAATGTCAGAAGGCAAGTCCGCCCTTGTGTGGCTAATCAAGGCGCAGTAGCAATGCCACTGCAGATAATTAAAACTGCGCAGGCTCTGACGGCAAAGATAAAGCAGTGGACTAGCAGTGGACGAAGTACATCTTTCCTAGATCAAGCTCATTGAGACTCTTGCCAAGCCTACAGGGCATCTAATTCACAGTTGCGCTGCATTTTTCCCCTAAATGCAGTGTGAAAAAAATGTCGAAGCCACATGCCAACGACGTCAGCACACTGGGGCACACACTGAGCTTGTCACCGCTCTTGTGAATCAGGTCTTATGCGGAACCTGATGGGACTCACATGAGGTAAGTGTATTGATGCATTCAGACAGCACACCGGCGGCAAGGAATGCTGTAGCACATTCCGGCGCACCCTCTGATTTGGTAGGCCCCAAGAAAGCGGGGCTTTGTCCGTGTTTGTAAACGTCATCTTCAAGTCCTGACTGTCAAAAAGCAATAACTGGCTGGACATTTATGCCATTCGAGCCGCACGTCGCAGCAGTCCTCCATGTCGCTGTCATCGCTGACAACGATGGCCTTCGAAGGTTGTACACTACTATAGTATGGCACTGTTGGGCAAACGTGCGGTTTGAACATGTGAGGAGTTTCGTCCACCGGTCGTCAGGGATGAATTCAGGGCCGCAAGACTTTGTTGATGCAACGCCAGGGTATCAAGCAAACGTTGTAATTGTAGCTGAACATGTCCCAGCTGAACTAGTTGCACATCTATACAAAGACCATTTCCAGGGCAAAGGATCTGCCATGATCTGCCCTCTTCCGCACCCTCCTTGCATGCAGCATGCGGGCCCCGATGTACAAATGAGCTCGGGAAATGCGCATGAAAAGGTCTGCCTCCGGGAGAACGACAGCCAAGCCGCGGCTTTTGCTACTCCGGCCGGTGGTACCTGTGCTGCATTGCTGTGCTCAAAGAGAGCTGTGTCCATACACAGCATGTGTACGTTTATCAGAGACCCATGGGCCAACATCACATTTGCTGCAGGGGGTCGTGCTGCCCGAGTCCTTTGTCGAACCAGTACTCCTGCAGGAAGGAAGCAGCAAAACCCCGAAAATCAATGATTACGCACCCCTGAAACAGCAGGGCTGGCTCAACATCTGACCGTCCCGCAAACCTTCTAAAATTGTCTTACTAGTTGTTGGTAGGATATATGGGTATAGTCCTGATATTGCAGTCGCCATCTATTTGCCTAGGCTGATTCAGCCTCAGGGCGTTTGGAACCCTCTAAACTGCCCTTTGCAAATCCCACCCAGCAACAAGGACATTCCAGGACGAGGCTTGCCTAACAGCCTAAGCTTAGACCCCCCCCACCACCATAAACCCTAAGCCCTAAACCCTAAACAGTAGCTTTCATTTTTCCATTAGCCCATCCACCGTCCCCGACCCATCCCTTGCGAGGAATTTCTGTGCACCCCAACGGCGGAGGCGGGTGCGCGACAGCATTTACAATTATAGTCACCCTTAAATGGATAGAATATGGGGTATATGGGGATCTTATTATAATACACCCAAAACCATATTCTATCTACTCAAGGGGGTCTATAGGTTCACTTCTTCCTTACTAACAGCCAGTAAGTAGTAGCTTAGGAGGATCCCCCCGCCCGGTAATAGTGGTATAATAGGAACATAGGAGGACCCTAACATAATCTTTATTATCCTTTATAATCACTATTACTGGGTGGGGGGTCCACCTAAGTAATAGGCAATCCCAGACTCCTGGGAGGATCTAACTATTAGATCCCCTATATAAACCCATAAATACCTCTGTATAATCCTTATATAATTTCCCATATGGTTCTAGGGGATCTAATTTCTCGATCCCTTTCAATATCCGCCTAAACCCTAAACCCACACCCGATTTTACTTCTCTGGCCTTGGCCTTGTGGAAGTGGAGCTTGAGACGTCACGGCCTGTCTGCTCCTGAAAAAGGCTGGGTGAGAGAGATGGGAATTTCCCAAAATCAGGGGTCCCCTTTAAAGCGGGATATAGGGGATAAAAAGGCGATGTAGGGATATATGAGAATAAATAAGGCTTGGGGTTTATAGGGGTTCCCAAAGTCAGGGGTCCCCTTCAGGGCGTCCCTACAGGAACGGTTGATATATTGGGATCCATGTTGGGGTCCCGTTCTTTAAAGAAACTGCCAGATAGATTTTCAGCCAACAAATTGCAACAGCATGTCAACAAACATACGTGACGAACTTTCGGCAAACTAACTTCAGGGCCGCAGTCTAAACTCGTAGTATCCCCCTTTGTAACCCCTAAAAATGTAGTCCCTTATATAACCCCTTTTTAAGGAGTTTAGACTTTAGCTCATGTCATAGGATCCGGATTCTTGAATAACAAGCACTTGCTCCAGTATGCATTATTAATGGCAGAGATCCGTATACTCGCCTTATACTATAGTAGTTTCCATTTTTCCATTATCCCTTCATGGCACCTGTATTATAATGAATCCCAATATATCCCCAATGGGCTTCTTTGTTCTTGTGGTGGTTGTTGTCCCCAATCCAGAACTCAGCCCCAAGTTCTTGAGACGCCGAGTTTTTACGGGCAAACCAGGGCCCCGACACGTCTTGGCAACTCTCGAGGGTTTGGGATTCTAGCTTGTGGGGGTGTAATATTAGGGCTATCTTGGAGTTGTATTGGGTGAGAGGAAAGCGAAAATTGCTACTTCGTTTTTTTGTTTAATATAGCTGTGTTTTTTTTTGGCGGACCTTTCCTCCCAGATTGCTCCAGGCGATGCTAGTTAGCACGGTCCATCGGTCCATTACTGACCTCACTTCCACTTTGGCGGCATCGGACAACAGCTCAGCCCCTTACAGTAGCCAGCGTGCACGACTTGTCTGCCTGCTCCCTGACCCTGTTAAAGCCCTGGCCCTCTCACTTGTCACCCCTGTCTCACTTCCAGCCATACCCGCAGTCTCTATTCCGCTTGGTTCAACACCCATCTCGTCCACAGGCTCACTCGCATCATACTCAGAGGGCTGGGAGGGCGTCCACCTAAAATATACCTAAAGATTTGCCACTCCAAAAATGTCTGTTTCGGCACTTCGAGGCACCGCATCTTTGTTTGGCACTTGGACACCTAAACCCTGAACCCTACTGTTTCCGCGGAGCTTTGGACTTGCTGAAGACCCCCCCAAAATATGCTACAGTCTAAACCCCTAGTATCCCCTTTAATAACAACTCCTACCTATATGACCCCTCGCTTTAAGGAGTTTAGAGCTCAATATGGGTTCAGCGTCCCGGACGATCAACAAGCTCCAAGGGGTGGAGCCATGACCGTTCTTAAGTACGTAGGGGTTTCGTACCTTTTTTGGGTGTCCCCATAGGAGGGATTATAGCAGTTTGGGGTCTAAGTGTTCCAGCCCCTCAAACCCGCAGTGTTTCACCCAGATCCCGATGCCCCTCCAAAGGGCAAGGGGGTGTGCAATCTCTGATGCTTGAGGCCCCAAAGAGGGCTGAATCAGGGTTTCCTACAGAGGCAGTCCATAACTATCGCATCCGGATCTCGCCCTGTAACCAAACCTGTGCAAAGGCAGCAGTGCTTCCTGCGAGGATCGCTTCTGGAAGAGCATCTCCTTGTCCTGGACCTCTCTTTAAGATCTGTCTAGTTGGTGGTTTCCCAAAATAGGGGGTCACCATTGTAGACACAGAAACACTATGATCCTTATTGTGGGGACCCCTTAAAAAGGTACCCCAAATTTTGGGAAACAACAAAACTTGGAATCTTTGAAACCTTGCCAGCTCTGGAAAATGCGAAAGTGAATTTTGGCGCACGAAGATGCTGAGGTCAAGACCCAGCGCAGGAGCTCGCTCACAGCCTCGCAAAAATTAATTCCAGGACAGGACGCAAGACTGTGTAATAATAGTAATAGTTATTAGACTATGTGATAAGCAACAGTAACAATAACAGTAATGATGGTGATCATGGTAATAATATGTAACCATATGCGATAATATGTAACAATATGTAGTAACATGTAATAATAGTAACTAACATCATATCGTAAGCCTCGCTTATGGTTTGTTTGGAAAGTCAACCGTGTAATTTGCAGAAGTCCATGGCTGAACCGCGGGTACATGTCCGACCCGCGGGGCCACCCTCTACCGTAAACTCTGAAATCCTAGTAGATCGAATGAGGGGTAAGTGGGGATCTTATCATAACATACCCGAAGCCATATTCTATCTACTTGAGGGGGACTATAAGCCCTGAACCCCTCAACATTCCTAACTGTATTTCTTTCATGTTCACGACGCTTAACATCCAGAGCTGCTACCTGGACATTGCGCACACCCAGCGTCGTACCGCTGATACTCGACACACTTGCATGTATGCGTAAAATGCCGACAGGCATACAATCATACTTAGACAAATGCAAAACATGCAAGCATACGACCAAACATACAAGCGGGACAAACACGGATACCTGCCCCTCCGAGTTTAACCCCAGGTCCCAAACATCCCCTACTCTCCGTCATTCGCAAAAGAACATCTCGAGCCTCTTGGCGGTCTTTGCTCATTCCATCAAAAGCAGCTTTGGGGACCTTGCCAATGACTAGCTCTCCCTTGGGGTTATATAGGGGTAATGTTGGGGCTATATAGGGGTAGTATTGGGGTTATATAGGGGTAATTTTGGGGTTATATAGGGATAATGGAAAAGAAAATGGAAATTACTGTTTTTTTAGGTTTAGGTTGCAGGGCGGTAAAGATTGTCGCCCTAAAGCTCGGATTCCCGCCAAATCCGTGAGCCTGGTAGTGCTGATCTTTTTCCCTGCAGGTG